CCAGACTGATTTGCGAGTGAAATCTTGAAAGCTCGCGAGATCAGGATGGTCTCACGAGGCTAGCGTCAAGGTGCATACAGAGAGCAAATCTTTAACAGTATGTTAAACAACGTAATTTGCAGTTCCCTACAATCCGGGAAGCAAGAAAGAAGGTTGTCCTATCGGGATGCAGTGATAGGGAAACTATTCAGACATGATGGGAAGATGAATATTTAATGCTGGAGAAAAATTCAGTTTGAAGCTAAAAAACAGTGAAGACTGGAGTGGAGATTCACCATGGAGCAGGACAACCATCCTAAACATAGAGCCGTAGCTACAACAGAATGGGTTGGCTCAATGCAGAATCATTTGTTAGAATGGCCTGGACAGATTCCAGGCCCAGACAGATGTCCTCCATTAAATCTGGCTCAGCTTATCTATTTTACGAGGAATAAAGGGCAGAAGTTTCATTCTGTATGTGTGGAACCGTGATTCATTTTCATCCCTTTTTTTTTAGTGCTATCTGTCGGTTTATAATATAACATTTAAATGAAATATATATAAATGTGTAAGAAAATATGACAAACTAGATAAGGTCAGAGTGACTGGTTTAACAATCTGACTGTTTATTTATTTTCTTTGCATTATGATTGACTGTGATAAACAGTAAATAATATGATGAGGATGAACAGAACCGCAGAACAAACTGCTCAGTAAAATCTCAGTAAGTAAACTGAAGTAAACTTTTCTTCTCCCTACCAGTTGTGCAGGCAGCATAAAGCCTAAGAATTAATGAAATCGTGCCCACCCCAATGCACAAACATCCTTAAGTAGATTATCCTGAAAAGACCTGTCGGGAGAAGACCTGTGGAGATGCATGGAGTCCTAGAAGTATCTAATCTGACCAGACTGCAGAGCAGCAGGCGACTGCTAACAAGGCTAACTGCTGATTAAGGTCAGTCAGCGATGCAGCACAGAGACGGGGTGACTAATAGATGTCAAACAGCGCCTCGACTGCAATCCATCAAACCCTTACACCAGTGCTGTTTGTTTAAATCAGGATGTTAGACGTGACTCTTAGAAACTGGCCTCCTCCTCTTCTACGTGTAATAAACATTCTTTAGGGACGTATAGAGAAAACAAGCAGGACAACCATCTGCCTCTGTACACGTCTAGACCTGAACTTCCTCTCAGTCTGGACCAGGTTCATCTCACCAGTCATGTGACCTGGAAGCCAGACTAACCCCTAACTGTGCTCTCAGACAGAAAGAGGAGAGGACTAAGCCAGAGCTCCCAGACGGGGACACATTGTTTTTGTTCTGTGGAAAACCCACAACAATCTCATCAGCTTTTTAATAACGGGTTTAAGATATGACAAGATCAAATTTATTCCCAAAGGAGAGGTAAGAACTAAGTCTATGGAACCAACAGGGGTTTATCCTTGCAAATACTTTGGTTATCACTCCAGCAATTTCATAAAATCCTGTATGTGTGCTTGTTTCCAAAGTAGCAAAGCTTCTGAAGTTAATAATTGTGTTTGATCGTTACAGTCAATGTGAAAAAAAGCAACCTTTGAGGACTTCTGACAAAGAAGCAAAGAAATGATCACATGGTGAGTCTATAAGACCGGGGAGATTGAAATGATGCCTGATTTTGTAGATATTCTTTATCTGTTTAAATGTTAGAAAGTGGTGATCTATAGATCTGTCCCTGCAATGCTGTTTAAAGCACATTGTCCTCTGAGTGCTGTTGGCGGATTAAAGAATGGAAATGTTTATTTTGCTTATTGGGAAGCAAAAAATTATGGAATATATAAATATTTTATTTAGTTTCTTTTTCATATACGGTTTCATATAGGGAGTGATTTCATTATTTGGCATTTATTTACCAAATTAAGTGTGCAAATTCTAGTTTAGCCTGTT